GCTGTTACAGCTACCCGCAACTCGCCTCCAGCGAGGCCTGTGAGTACCGCGTACGGCCCGTCACCGCGTTCCTCTCTCCTTCCACGGCTTATACGGCACCGTTAGCGCTTGTTTCCCGATCATGTGCCCAGTGTAAAAGTCAACAGTTGCTGGGTTTTTTTTCAAGGAACTGGAAATCATAGGCTCACTGAGGCTCTCAAGAACACTTCACAACAGTGGCAACCAGAAGATAATTCTTCCTCTTAGTGCTGTGGGAAGTCTCAGCCCACAGTGAATCATGAAGGTGGCTAGAGGTGTAGCCTATGACTTCTGCAGTTTAGCAACCATTCAACTCGTTTACCTGCTGCTATCCTTTCTCATCACCGTCATTACAAATCAGAGGTGTTATGCTGTGCTGTACTCAATTATGTGTGGTGAGATCTGTGCGTGGTCAAGAGAGAACCCTTTCTTTCGGTACAGGGTGTTGAGTGAAGGTTGATGATGTTTATTCATCTGCTCTCCTTAGAAATAACTACATTTGAATTGCAACTACCTTCACTGGGTTATATACATGGTATTTCTGGTTTTCCTGGAAAACCAGAACTTCTTGTTAATCAGCTTGCAGTATTATAAATCCACTTTTCTTTCTATCAGTAGATACAAGAAGGTATTTAAAAACATGATGGTTACATTGGATTTGTTCTGCTATGCTTCTGCAGTTCTATCACTGAAGTCCAGAATGGAGAGGTACCTAAAATCAAATCCTAATCACCAGAGAAGTTTCTTAACAGAAGTAAGGATGACTTGATAGTATTGCTTTTTGTCTGGGCAGGTTAGCACAGAATTCAACGTATTCAGTTCATCTTAGTTCTGTCTTGAGGTAATCTGCTGTACTAGGCAAGGCAGTTGTTTGGTATCCAGGATACAGATCCTTATAAAAAGATCCTTTTAATCTTAAGTCATACATCTGCAGCAGGGTAATTGCACCTGACTTGTGATAGAATGTACTGATTTTAAGTTTACTCAATCTTTTTGGTACATTTAGGCAAGTAGTGCAATTTTTGTGTGCAAGTTTATCAGACATTTCAATGCAAATAGGTATAGCAGCAAGATTGCTAATGCTTTAGAATTTTTTTGCCACAGTGAGGTGTTACACTGCTTTACTACTACTTGAACTTTGAACTGGTTTGTGAACCTCAGATTTTAACCAAAGGTGGTTCTTCTCTTCTGTCAGGGAATCTGTCAGATCATGTGATTTCTAAGTTGCATTCTTCAGAACAGAGTGTTTCCCTGTGCTGTAGGAAGAGAGTTTTCTGTTAGAAATAATACAGAGTTTTCCTCATGTAGTAAGCTGAGCTCTCCAGGCTTCTGCAAGATTTTAATTTTCTACTTTTAATGGGATAGCTTGTTTAGGGAACAAATGCGGAAATAAACAGTTATTAGTCACTTGAGCAGTTTGGCTCCTCTTCTTAATAGAGATAGTCTGGGTCAGTCAGTGAGTATCCTATAGCAAGAGTATTGGGTGTGTAATCAAAGTACATGTAATCTGCCCTTCTCCCTGCTGGCTTCTTGCCTGCTTGTGTAGATGGTTCTAAATAGCCATACAAAACTTGTTCTGCATTCGTTTAAGGTATATGTTCAGAAAAAAGCCTGCTGTTTTGAAAGTAAATCCCTGACTGAACTACAATTACAACTAAAACATCTGTGGAGATTACAGTAGTCTTTTAATTCTGTTTCTTACCCAGAACTTCCAGTACATGCAATCTGTGTTTAGGTTAAAATGGAAGCTTGAGGTGCTTTCTTTATGTCCCTGAATGGCTTTTCTCTGGTAGTTTAGACAAATGTTTGAACTGTATAACTTATAACCAACTATTCTTTCATGTTGAGGCAGATAGAATAAATCATTATGCAGCAATTTATCCCTCTGACTTTTTTATCTTTTGCTTCAAATGTGTGACTCTGGTTAGTTTATTATTGCTTCAGTGTTTAAATAATAATACAAATCTATAGATTTATAGATATAGTGTATTTTTATACATATAGATGTATGTGGGTTTTTTTTTAAATTAACATATGTAAAAGATATTTGCTTCTTCATGAAAATTTACTGAATCACCTTAAATGGAAACCCAAAATTATTTTATCTTCCCCTTCCCCCCTAGTACTTTATACTGTACTTCAGTACTCAAACTTAAGGGAGGATTGTTATAGATACCTTCAGATACTATTCTTCATTTTAGTTCATCTTACTGCCCCCATACACGTGCTCATTAGATGGTGGGGGCTGATTATTTTTTTTCCTTTTTAATTAGACTTTTATAGTAAGCACCTAACAATATTACTTGACAAGCTATATCTCTATAAAGGTGTGTAAGTATAGCCTATATAAAAGGAAGGTCAAAGGAGAAGTAAACTTCTGTGGTTAGGTCTGGCTTAGTTACCCAACCTTTATCACCCATATTTTAAATCAGTTGGATTAAACTTGGCTGGAATTCTGGCCCATGTGCAGTATTTAACATTGCCATTATTAAGCACTGTATTCGTTTTATCATCTTAATGATTAACTGTTGACTCTCTGACTAGTAGCTTGCATTATTTCAGGAGCACATAAATGAAAAATAGCTGCACAGTATCACCATTAAAAACAGCATTAGTTAGAATTTAAAAAACAAAGGGAGATGTGGCACTTGAAGGATCTCTTTAATGCATTGTCCTATCCATGCTTCCTTGAGGAATAATTTTTTTTTTTCTTTTCTTTAGATCATTTAACTGTAACTGAGCCTGTGGCTATACTGAAAGCAGATGAGGTATGGGGCGCTTTAAGAGGTAAGCAGATACTTTTCCTGTAAAGCTATTTGTTCTGGGCTTATACAAACTCCATGCCAGACTAAGAATCAGCTCACCGCTGAGCCGTGCCCTCATTCAGTCCTTCATGGGAAGTAAGCTTGGGCATAGAGGTCAGAAGGATACCCAGATGTGTGTTGGTCGGACCTTCAGTCTGGATGCTCAGCATCTCAGATCCAGTGGCACACCATAAACGCACTCTTGCTGTGCCTGAAATCAGTGAAGCCAACGAAATCCTGGCTGCTATAAAGCTCTCTGATCTACAGTGTGAACAAATTATTCTCTGACTGCACCTAATAACTGAATGTGCTGGCCACATTTCCAAGAAGACCATAATGCTGACGTTTCAGCCTGCTGTTCTTACTGGAAAGTTAGTCTAAATTAGCAAATTTTTCATGCTGACTTAGAAACTTCACCAGTTCCAGAAATGATAGGAATAGATGCATGACAACACCAGAAATTCCTACCTTACTCTCAGTAACTTCCATACTATCCAAGGATTAATTTGGTACAGCTCAGCTATACTGCTAATATTCAGTACTTGTGTATCATGAAGAACTTGAAGGAAGTTCTAAAGAGAGAACCATTAACTATGGTGGTTGAGCAATTAAGGAAACTGTGCTAAAGAGAAAGAAACTCAGCTACAAAGCATTCTTTCTAGTTATGTAAACACCTGTAAAAAGTTATGGTCCTGTTTTTAATTAAAACTTTAAGGATAAGTACTGGGTTGTACTCCAGATACCTCTCTTGGATTTTTTTCCCAGGTTTGGAGACCTTCAGCCAGTTGGTTCATGAAGATGACTATGGAAGCGTAAGTATAGCTATTAACTAAAAACTAGTCTTGCTAACAGACAGCAATGTTCTTTATTAAGCACTCTTCTAGAAACAGCAGATCTACAAGTTTCATTAAGTAATTTTTTTGGAAAATGATCCTTGAAAGCTGTTAACAAACTGAAAAGTGACTAAGTACTGTTTGAAATTATGAATATAAAATGGGAATTCTAATTCTTAAATCTTGTTTTCATAGTTTGTTGTTAATGAATCTGAAATCGATGACTTCCCAAGATTTGCTCATAGAGGAATCTTACTAGACACTTCAAGGCATTATTTACCATTGAAATCTATTCTTACAAACCTGGTAAGTGGGCTGGTTTGTATCATTAATAATGAAGGCTTTTTGTTGTTGTGTTTTGCCCGCTGAAGGAGGTAGCAACTGGAGCTGGTATGAAAGGAGAACCCATCTCCTCTGGCTGACTTCTAAAAAGACAGAATGAACTTTGCTAAGTGAAGGTCAGAACATACACCAGAGTGGGAAGATATAGTGATTAGTGAATCCATACAGGAGACTGGGATTTGTGGTATCTTGGTTTTTTGTATTTTCTGTTGCTTAAACCAGCTCAAGTATGTCTTGGAAGCGTGTTTTGAGACATCTGACTGTCACCAAACAGTACAGGGGAGACCTTGCAAGTCCTGGCTTCAGTGCCAGTGGTTGCAGGAAAATTCCAGTCTTTTCAATAACCAGGCTTTGGTAATCGTTTCTTAAGCTTCTAAGAGCAAGCCGTTAATTAAGTAGTACAGAGCAAGGGGGGGGGTGGGAATTGGAAATGTTCACTGGAAGCTACTGATTTCTTTCACCGTGTCCATTCAAAAAGAAAAAAACCCCACATAATAAAAAAAAACACCAAACAAAACTTTCTCTGAAAAGCTTAACTAAGCACACTAAGAATTGTATATTCACACCTTCATGGGAACGTGATGGATTTGTGTAATCAGAGCAGCCAAAGCTGTGGGTTTTTCTGTTTTGTACTGCCTCTTTCTGCTGTTGAAATCCTTGTAGCAGGGCTCATTTGGTGGGTTGAAGCAGAGGAGCCTTTGAGTGGAGGAACCTGCAGTTTCCTGTCTTGTCTCTGTCTTGCTTTTCCACGATGACATAGTGTTAGAAATTTCCCTTCCATGTTGTAGAACTTGGCTGAGCAGGCTTAAGACAGGCAGGAAGACAATGCAGGTAAAACCAGTCTTAATTTCTGAGGTCATCCTTGAACTATGCTCAGAACTTACCCCTCTGTGGGTGTTTACCACTTGTATTTACCTTTAAGATCAGTCCTTGCTCAGCAAGTAGTTTGCATAATGTTTCATTTGCAACTGAGGGTGCTTCAATGACTGAAAACATAAGGGGAACATTATCTTCTGCAGAGAAAAATGCATATTTATTTTGCGTGCATTTGAAATGGATTCTGCAGAAGTCACTGGTAAGTAGGGATGTACTAACTAGTAGGATAGTCTCTCATGCTGTTTAGTTTTTGAGTCCAAATTGTTTAGGTAGAAAAGTACAAGATTTTCTGTAAGCTGAAATAGCTGATGATGCATAGAGAATTACCCAGATATGTTCTGAAGTGGAAGAAGTTCATAAGCATTCGTAGCAGTTCCCCTTCTACCAGCCAGAGTAGCATGATCAGATCAAGAGCCTGTTGACAAGAGTTGCGCAAATAGTTGGCAGAGGAATGGAACAGTAGTATAATCAGGCTGGTGTGCTTTGGTGTATGCTTCTAGGATTCAGTGAAATGTGGTATGCTTTTTTCTTTTTTTTTTTTTCTCTTGTTGCTTTAGGCATGCAGGATATACTGGGACAAGACCACCATTTTTTGCATAGGTTTTCTGTATGAGTGAAGTGCTTAACAAGACTGTGTTGCATTATCTGTTACAGGATGCCATGGCTTTTAACAAGTTCAATGTTCTCCACTGGCATATAGTAGATGATCAGTCATTCCCTTACCAGAGTATTTACTTCCCTGAGTTAAGTGACAAGGTGAGCAAACATCACTGGAGCAGGGTGGGAGGGCAGAAATCTGGCACGTATTTAATGAAAACCAATGGTTGAATACATCTGCCTTGGCTGATTGTGAAACAGTACCAGAGAACCAGTAACCAGCAAGTCCATGTTCAGATCCTACCTGAGTGTCTGCGTGGAACATATTCAAGTCTTCCTTGGTGGGTGCATGATAAATGACCTTCCTGACTCTTCTGGGCAAATTTGGTGGTGACAATGATCCCCAATGTTTGCAGGCCTTCAAGCAGTAGTGGTGTGCAAATTGCCTGTTGTGGCGAACACTGCTTGGATTTCTGTTGGTTTGTTTGTTTAACTGGTAGACTTCTGCCACTCAAACAAATGTAAGAGTTTCTTCTCAGCTGTAGGTTTGGAACCACTGCAGTAGTAGTTTGGCCCTTTCTGAGATCTAGTTAACTTTACAAAATACATCATGTCTGTAAGAGGTCCAAAAGTGAGGAGTTGTTTTCTAAACCATACGGTGCAATGTATCTTCTTTATTTCCTGATTCACAGCAAATGTTGCCAATTAAGGAAAGCCATCATGAGGTTCTTGCTCACTCATGGTACAATGGCAACCAAATCAAGCATGAATAATTAAGTAGACCAAGCATAAGCACAAGATTTGTGATTCTGTTTTAAAATGCTTCCTAGAATCTGACCCTCATGAAAATTATGTTGCCAGTGCTTGAGCAGATGTTGTGAAGAATTTTATAATTCAAAAAAGGTAGATGTTGGATGGCGCAGTCAGATTATTTTTCCTAGTAGTGTCTGTGGAGTTCTGTCCTATTGCCCACTGACAGCTGGAGAGAGGGGGATAGCCTTTGTCTCAATAGCCTTTTTGAAAGGCTTCTTGTTTACCATTATCTTTTTTGAGTAACTCAGCAGTGGAAATTGTTTCCAGACAAGTAGAAGCTGTTTAGGTGCTATTAATTATGAGGCCTCATGATGCTTTTCTCATATAGTTTGGCTGTTTGGCAAGCATCTGTTTTGCCAAACTGTAGCAGTCTGGGTCATTTGTCACATTTGTTGGCTGTGTGGGAGTGGAATAACGCTCAAATTCAGTGTCACAAAACAAACACGCCCTGATGCTAAATTGCATCAAAACTGTCAAGTGGAGGTGTTGGAAGAAGATGCTGTTCTTTCTGACTCAGCAGAATTTTTCCATTAGTCTTGCATGTCATGTAACAAGAGCCCTGTGTTTCAGAACTAATGATGCAGAGGTGGAGGGGAAAGCTAACTTGCTGCTGTACAGAATTGAAAAATGTATCTCCGAAATCTGATGGAATCGAAACTAGCTTTTTTTTTTTCTTCAGTAACTGTGAGCTAAGGAGGAAAGGACAGTCTCCTCAGGAGATTTCTCTTAGTGTGGAAAAAGGAGTTGATCTTTGTGGGTGGCTTTTTTTTCCCCTGCACTAGTCAACCCAGAAATTCTGTCAGAGCAGTTGCACATGTGATAAACCAGGAAAGGCCAACTTGTAAAATTGCTCTCCAGTCTAAATTATAACACTTTAATCCCAATTTTTGAGCTGCTGGTATAATGCTTTGTAAACTGTCTTTAAATGTGACTACTTTACAGGGAGCATACTCCTATAACCACATCTATACTCCTACTGATGTCCAGCTGGTGATTGAGTATGCCCGGTTAAGAGGCATTAGAGTTATCCCAGAGTTTGATACCCCAGGACACACACAGTCTTGGGGAAAAGGTATGTCCAAGCAAGTATTAATGCTTAAAAGATTGTGGTAAGTAGGGTGTGGTAAGTAAATCAACTTGTTAAAAAGCAGCCTTGAAACTGCTTTGAAAGACCCTTGGTAAGAGGAAAGCAAGGGCCAGACTCAGTCATGTTCCTGACCTTTATGTGTTAGAGGAACTGAAGTGAAAGGAGGAAGCTGACACTTCCTGTACTGGATGTGTGTGCGAAGGCACAGATATATTCTGTTTGCCTTAGACCTCGTGTTGTTGCTGTCTACCCATCCAGTACTTCTGAAGTTAGAGTAGTAAGGCAGTGGCTAGAAATAGAGCGTTGCTGTCTCTAGAGTAGAGATTTCTGCTTTGGGAAGGTTCTTTCAAAGTGGTTGATGTTTCTGTCTCTTAGTAAAGTGGTAATCTACCAGTACACAAAACACAGCGAAATTGGATACTTCACTCTATTTTCTAGGTTTCAGAGTAATACTTTTCTTGATAGAAAATGCTTCAATCCTGAGAGTGGTGGTGTTTACATGTACTCAGGGACTGGGGAATCTTGTGCCTTAATTCAAGGTACACTGACTGTGATTTCACTGCAATTAACATAAGGTAGTTTGGGCCAAACTGGAAATAGTAAATGTTTTTCTAGCAGTTCATAGCTTTATCTTTAGCCATGGGGGAAGTCTTGTGCTCATCCTGTGGGGATGTGGCCATAATATTGGAAGACGCCTCGGGCTCTTTCTCACTAATTTAAAATTAGGAGGAAAGGAACAAGGCAAAATTGAAATTTGCTAAACAGTCCTTCTGAATCCTTAGTCTGCTATGGTCTTTACTGTTGTGAAGCACTAATAAAAGCCATTGGCTTGCCTAGTGTATGTGAGGTGGTCTACATTCATATTAAGAGCAAGGTTCAGCTCCCTTGCCTAAAACGAATTGTTCCTGATAGCTTCTTGTATAGTAGCCTTTTTTAATGTGATGCACAGGAGCCAGTCCTGGTGTTGCCTATGAACCTGGGTAGCTGTGCTTTGTTTGCTTTCAAATTCAAGATATTGGAGAGAAGTCTTAAGGCCTGGGAGGAGGGTAGTTGAAACAATCTGCCACCAGAGCCCTGTTTGGGGGAAATGTGCTTGGAGTAGGAAACACACATCCAGGAAGGTGCTCTGCTGCTGCAACCACAGTTTACCAAATAAACTGCGTTTAGGAATTTCCAACCCACATGTAATAACTTTTTCCTATTTTGTTATCCTGGCTTATTTTGCTTCAGATGTCTTGGCTTAAGAACCAGTGGTTAGTTTTGATGTCTGTCTAGCCTTCCTTTCTTGTGTAGAGGTAAATTCCTAGCAGACTGAGGTAGGGCATCTACCTTGAGCCGTATACCTCCCACCTAATCAGGTGTTAACAAAGCAGAATAATAAGAGAGGCCTCTGGAGCACACTGATTATATTTGGATTCCTTCTAATTGACTACCTTCCTAAATCCATTAAAGCTTTTTTATTCAAGTAGTCATCCAGAAGCTGTTTTCCAGTGACATGTTCCATAAATTAGTGTGTGTTAAATAACAAATCTAAAAGTCAGAGTCCTGATTTCCAGTTACAGGTTTCTCCAACCTTGGGCAAGTTTTTTTTATTTCATCCTGCCTCTGTGTGATTATACTTAGAATAGATGAGCACTTAAGTCATGAATATTAAGCTTTTTAATACAGGTAACTGCCTCTTCCTGCTAGCTAAGTTAGCATACCGGCATGGAACTGAATATCCTCTATTAATTGTTTCTATTAGGTCAAAAAGATCTTCTAACCCCTTGTTACAATGGACAACAGCCAACTGGGTCCTTTGGACCTGTAAATCCCATTTTGAATACAACTTATGACTTCATGACTAAATTCTTCAAAGAGATCAGCAGTGTTTTTCCAGATGCATACATTCATTTGGGAGGAGATGAAGTGAGCTTCGATTGTTGGTATGGTGACACTTCAAAGAATAAATATCTAGTGCCTCTTAAACTTGTCTAAATCTATCAGTTATGGAACTTGGATGCATAAGACAGTTTTCACTACTTAACCCAAAGATCTCCACTCCTACTTCTGTAACTATTTATAGGAAGAGCATTTGTGATCGTCAACAAGCAAGTGATGTGCAGAATTTTGCTTTGACTAGTACTTTCACAAACGTTCAGGTACTCTAAAAGATTTCTTCATGAAAATTAATCTGTCAGGAAGGAGAACTAGTATGGTACAAAAGTACTACCTAGATAATACAATAAATCGAGGGTTGGAACAAGATGATCTTTAAGGTTGCTTCTAACCCAAACCATTCTGTGATAATTAACATTTAAATGGTTTGTGTTAAAGGAAAAGCAGTTCTTTCCATTGGGTTCTGCCTTCCAGAAAATCTACTAATGTTAAGTATTACAGTACTGACTCTTGTGTGCTTGTATTAAAAGTATGGCATATATTAACAGAGTTCTTCAATTGGTTGTGGATTTTGAATGTTTTGGAGTCTCTCTGCTGGAGTAACTAATAATACAGAAATTGGAGTAGATACAATTGGATGAATATTGAAATTGATCTAGTTAGTATTTGCATGTTCTCTTGAAACATCAAATCTGAACACTCAGGACTTGCTTTAATTTTTTAAAAGAAAGAAAATTTCTGGCAAATGCTGTATCACAAAAGTGTTGGTTTGCTTTTGGGATATTTTCCCAAACTCTTGATGTGTCATTCCTGCAGATCCCCTGGTACTTATGACTACTCAGTTTCCAGACCTGCTGGCAACCTTCCCACAAAGTTGCAGAGAAGCCAGGAAACCTAAAGCTTTTAGAAGCTTGAGGCAGTCTGCCAGATACTGCTTCAGAACAGGGATTCCAGTAATTTCACCAGAGAAATAGGACTATTGGCTTCATTTCAAATCAGGATTAAACTGTTTCAAAATACCGAACTTGTGTTAGTCTGCTGCTTCTGCCTCTGCTCAGTTGTGCATTCCAGTCTATGGTGTGCCTAAGGCATCAGCTAGTGTGCTGTGCATAGGTGGAAATGGTTGGGAAATCTGGTTTAAAACAAAACAAAATTATTCTATTTTTTTAACTTGTTTTGTTGTTATTACTTTAAGGAAATCTAACCCTGAAGTGAAAGAGTTTATGAAGAAGCAAGGATTTGGCATTGACTATGCTAAACTGGAATCTTACTATATTCAGAAGTATGTTGTTTTTTTAATTCTTGCTCTGCTTTTCACAGCCAGTATCCAAGGGTGGTGCTGAGGTGCAGATACTGAAGCTAATTTAGGTTAGCTTATATAATTTTCAAAAATTGCCATGTATTAGAGACTACCCACTGAATGTAAAGTTCACAGCTTTAAAATGTGGGACACGACAAGGACATGTAGGGTAGTTCTACACACACTCTGAATGTAATTTGGTGTCTTAAACTAGGTGTCTGCTGTCATGTCAGCACACAGGGCGGGGAGGGCAAGTCCTAAGGCTTTTGCAGGCATTTATTTCTCTCGTTGTTAAATAACATGGATTTAGACACCTGTATGAGTTGTTGGTAGTTCTGAACATCGGTTTGTGTTCCTTATACATGGGAGAACATCCTCTTCGAGGCAGAGCACTGAAGGCCAGAACCAGAAAAACCTGGTTTTTCTTCGTCCCCTGTGCAGTGCTGGGAAAGGCCTGATGTGCCTTAGGGTAGACAGTGTTTCTGTTGTGCGTGTCTGTGGTGATCTCACTGAAGTTCACAAACATGATCTTATTTCTAAATTCTAGGATTTTGGACATTGTTTCCTCCTATAACAAAGGATACATGGTCTGGCAAGAAGTGTTTGATAACAAAGCGCAGGTAAGATGGGAAAATAAATAAGATAGTCTTGGATAACAGCACAATATTGTAGGAGGCTTCCAAAGTAGACTATTAAGTAGTTACGGTTGTGTCTCTTAAGAGTTAAAGCAAGCTTGCTGACTTTAGCAAATCTCCCCAGGTGTGGGGCCCACCTTGAAATGATAATTTATTGAACATGTAAAATAGGTGTAACAGGAACACCAGTACTGAAGTGCTTTCTAAAGGTGAACACAGATAATACAATATGCTTTACAGCATCAGAGTAAAGAGTAGGGAGGTTTCTGCAAGTTTCTTTCTTCTTTTCCCCTCACATAACCATGCGTCTGGTTTAGTAACACCAGGTGCTCAGCTTTTCAGAGCTGGTCAGATAACTGGTGCAGATAACTGGTTCCTACAGAACTCTCTTAGGGCATTAACTATCTGTAGGATAAGCTAAGCTTCACTCTAGTGTGAACTCTGTTTAAAACCAGCAAAGAGCTAATCAGCTTTAGACTGGGGAAAAAAATTACAAAAGATACCTTCCAAAATGTTATCAGGAAAAATCCTTTTTCTTCATAATAGCAATTAAGATTGTCTATAATGTTTTTTTTTTTGTTTTGTTTTTTTCCCCCTTTTAGCTGAAACCAGACACTGTAGTTCAAGTGTGGATGGACAACAACTATGCTAATGAACTGAGCATAGTCACTGGAGCTGGGTTCAGTGCTATCCTGGCAGCTCCCTGGTACTTGGACTACATTAGTTATGGACAGGACTGGAAGAAATACTACAGCGTTGAACCACTTCACTTCCCTGGTTTGTTACTTTTTTTACATTCGTATTTTGTGCGTGAAATAGACATATTAGGTATTAGGAAGAAATTCTTCATTGTGAGGGTGGTGAGGCACTGGAACAGGTTGCCCAGAGAGGTTGTGGATGCCCCCTCCCTGGAAGCGTTCAAGGCCAGGTTCGATGCAGCTTTGGGCAACGTGGGCTAGTGGAGGGGGGGCCCCCCTGCCTGTGGCAGGGAGGTTCAAACTAGATGGTCTTCAAGGTCCCTTCTAACCCAAACCATTCTGTGATTCTGTGAAAGTATTTAGTTCACAATAAGCTATAAATGTAAACAATAAGACTATTTAGAGAAGTCATGCAGTCACTATGATCAGATATGCTGTAATCAAAGTACTTTATTGCCAGCTAGAACTCTGGAAAATTCTCAAATTAAAAAAAAATTCAACTTTCCACTTCTCACAGTGAAAAGCGTTACCTTCTTCAAACATCTGGCACTGGTGCTTTTGTGAGACAGGATGCCAGACTAGGTGGACAGATCATGCATTAGTTGTGCAAAATGGCTGTTGGTCAGCAGACGTTGAATTCCTATGTTAGCAAGCTTCTAGAGTGTCAGACTGTTCCAGAAAAAGACGTGTTCTCTCCCTCTGGCTAAAGCAGATACAAACATCTTATGCTTTCCCCGGGGCATTCATCTTGTGCAAGGTAACTCTCAGAGCTGATTAGCGAGGACTGCTGACTTCGTAGCTTTTTCAAGGAGTTCTGTGTGTGGTAGAATGAACAGTTTCAATCAGGACTGAAATCTGTGAAGAATGTCAAAAGGCTGAGGAATGTCTTCAGAGGATAAAAGGTAAAAGCCTGTCTGACAGAGAAGGGTAATGGGTTCTCTGGGCAAATGGCCTGGTGGTTCTCACATCCAGTAACAAGACTACCAAAAAGTTAAGTTACTGCTCAGGATAGATATTTTATATGATAAACAACTGAATGTCAATGCTCTCTCAATATTGGGAAGTGAAATTGTTGATACATGCCTATCTTCTGGGCAAATAGAAATTCTAACTTTCTGCTTTGAATTCAGGATCTGAAAAACAGAAAAAGCTTTTAATAGGTGGAGAAGCCTGCCTGTGGGGGGAATTTGTGGATGCAACTAACCTCACACCAAGATTATGGTATGAACTGCTTTGTTGTTAGATTTTTAGAAAGCCAGCTACAAGGAGCGTTATTTAATCCAACAGGACTGTATGGTAGTGGTAACAGTGCTCTGTGCTGAACCTGAGCAACTATAAAAATTGATGCTTCTGGATATATAAGACCTGGTATTAAAAACTTTAATCCATTCTTGGTTATAGACCATACTTGCTCTAAAACTCAGTATATCTTTACAGGCCTCGAGCAAGTGCTGTAGGGGAAAGACTCTGGAGCAGCAGATTGCAGGATGCCTATACAAGACTGACTAATCATCGATGCCGCATGCTCCGGTAAGATTAATAGCTGTAGTAAAGCTTGGTTCTCATGCCTTGTCACCAATGGAGCTCAAGTAGAGGCCTAAACTGCTGACCTGGAAATGAAGGGAGGAGAGCTATGAGTCTAATCTGACTATGCAAGTGTCATCCCATGTGTTTTTGTATCCACAGAAGAGGAGGAACAGGTACATGAAGACAGGAGTTCTAGACAGTTTTGCAACTAACATTTTCAGAATGCCTTAAGTTTCTTCAGTGAAATACTAGAACTCATCTATGTCTCTCTTTCCTCTAAAGGAAAAAACACCACCATGATTGACTTATTTTAGACAAAAAGGATGTTAAAGGGTATGTGGGAGGAGTACACAGGAGAAAAAGTAGAATTTTTTAAAAAGTTGTTAATGATTTATAATATATAATAAATAATAAACAAAAGACCTGCAGAAGGCAATCTAGTGGAGCTGTTTGCATGAGAGGGTGAGCTGGAGCGAGGTGTTCTTTCAGGTATTGCCTTAGTTTAGGGACTGAAAGGGGTGGACAAGGAGTCCCCAATTAAAATTTAATTCATTTGTGGCTACTGTAAACAAAGGCAGTTTGTAACATATTCTTCTCTGCACTTCTTTCCTAAAAAGTACCTAGACAAGTTGCTGGTTAATTATTGGTAGAGCTGTCTTTGTATATTTGCAGTTGTAGAAATGAGTGATTTCTAGGTCTTAAGTCCAAGTTTGACTCCACTTTTAAAAGTATACAGTCAGAGAGCCTTCTAGGATTTCCCAAATGCTGCTGCAAAGTTGGACTGCAGCAAGAACACAACATGCCATTTAATTTCTCTACAAAAGTTTATGTTAAGTCATTGAAAATCCCAGCAGTGTGAAGAAGTATTTCAAGGTAGATACAAATCAACTTTTTAGAGAACAAGATACAATAGCAGTTGGCTGTAGTGAGCACTTAAGCACTCTGCTCATGTTCCTGTAGGTGTCTTAGCATGATTATCTGTTGGAATCACTGACTTCTAGCTTACAGCATAAACTAGTTCTTAAGTTGAGACTGACTGAAAGACTCGAAAGTTTTGACTTGCTGGATTTATTTCAAGTTGGCTTAAAATTATGCTATAGGAAGATAACATAATTAACATACAGCTATTTTCCTCAGTCATGAGAAAAATAGATACAGTGAGAGAGTTAACAAATACATGTAAAAAATAAGATTAAAGGGCTTTAAAAACTTATGTCCCGTCACTTAACAGGACGGTGCATCTCTTGATGGGCCTCAGAGAAAACACTGATAGAACTGAACAGCGGCATGTACAGTGGCCATAGCACTGGGATTAGCGTTTTACAGTGAACTAAGCTGTGCTATTCCTGGACCTAGTTAACTATTGTTGCATCACCATCTTCTTCCTTAACGCTGGCACTTGTATTGCTGTACAGGGAGCTGATCCAGGTGACTGCAGCTGCTCTGGTAGTGCTAGCATGAGTGATGCAGAATGCAGGAGCAGAGTAAGGACCACTCCCTGTACTTGTTGCACGCTTTTTCCTTAAACTACTTTTTGATGCTAAACTGCTCTGCTGGCACATAAACTTACAGTAAACAATTCCTGGTATAAACAGACTACCTTAATAAAAGGACATGTCTGAAAGTGATGGTTTTTACACAGGCCTTGAACCAGAATAATACTAGAGAAACCATTCCCTTTTGCACTGATGAAACGAGTATTCCTTGGAGCTGCTGCCTTTCATGTATGTGGGGCTTCCTTAGCATTGTGTGAACTCAAAGAGCTGATTTAATCAGTCAGGCTGTTGTAAAGTCTTAGAGCATGGACAAAGAACTATGTCCCTACTAATGTTTTCGTACATGGTATATACAGACCGTGGCAGTTGTAGGGGGGCAAGGAGCCTTTCCAAGAACGAACAGGTGTAGCTTCTTCTGCAGCTGGGTACCAGGGGGTGAGGGAACTTTGGAACAGCTGGGTCCACTGGAAGAGCAGTAGGTCTGCCTATCCAGGGCTGAGGCCACTGCTGTTGAAATACTACCATGAAAGCAGAAGCTGCTATTCAGATCTAAGCTCAGCTTTCTGTAGGATACAGCAGCCCAAATAGCAGAGAAATGGTGATGGGAAAAGGGAAACAAACAGGTGGGTATATATTACAGAGACCTAGACAACAACCCTGTCTTTTACTAAGGGGCAAGCAATAGTTCAGATGAGCTATTTCATTATTCAGCTTCTTCCACTGCAGCTCTTAAGTGCAATTTAAACACCAGTATATATTATCGTACAAATTACTGTAGCAGTACTGTCTAGCTCTTAAATACCCAAGAGGCAGAATTTTGACTACAACTACTTTAACTCTGAAACAGAACAATTTATGATAGCATAGCTGGAAGAAAATCCTGTTTACTAAAATGGCCCCCCCAAAAATGAATGGAAATGACAGACAGCTGCAGGAAACACTGGGGTTAGGGGGAATGTGCAAATGTCAACTTATTCATATTTTCACATTCTTATGACTATTCTTCAATAAAAGCAATAGATTTTGCAGAACATTGAGACAACTAGCCCCTGAATTTAAGCTTTTCAACCTATATACATCTGATGGCAACAGAGAACTGTACTTAACTGAAGTACAATCAATGGTAGAATAGGGCCCTTTTTCACTTTCTAAATGGGTCATCTGTTATTTCTTGGAAGTAGTTTTGGTTACACAAAGATTAAAATAGAGTGCCAGTATCTCTCTTCCTGCCTACCAGGAACCTGCCAGTTGTTTGATTATAATCAATCATACACATTCCACTTAACAGCCGTGGCATAGCAGCCGAACCTGTATTTGTTGGATACTGCGCCCATGAAGCAAGAGGGCAGTAACTGCTGCAAAGACTTCTAGTCAACAACCTGAAGTGCCTCTGGGGTATGAATATACATCTATGCAATTTGATATTTGAACAAAGACTTATGTTTTTCATTTTACAAATAAAGTTATTTGATGTTCTTGTTGGAATAAGAGTGATGGGTTTTAGCTTTCATTAGAAATGGGGATTCTTCACTGTGAAATCCTGAAACTTGATATGATAGTTACCAATTCCAATTTCCTTACATTGTAAAGTTGAGGGAAAAGAAAGCTAAGACCCTAAAGACCAAACTATCTTTTTGATAGCATTTGCTACTTTTCTATGTAACCAGATAATTGCAAATCAGCACCATTATAGCTTAAATCTTTCACTCCTAAGGGTCAAAAAAAATCCTCCCATAACATACTCCAAGGTGGTAAGAACTCTGCCTTTCTTGTATTTTTTTGTACAGATCTTACTCAGGTTGCAGAAGCATCCATTCCACTTACTTACTTGCTAAAGCAAGCTCTGGTAGAAGCTACACCCAGTCCTGAATTCTAGTTCAAACTGGTTTCTAACAATACAATACACCACTAGAAGTATTTAGTTTAAAATACTTAACCATATTGTTTTATTCAGCTGAAAAGAAATAGAGAAGATAGAGACTGCCAAAACTGTAAAGCTGTTTCATTTACAGACATAAACTTCACAAACTTTAGTAAGTAAAGTAAGAAACAGTCCTAATGGCACATTAAAGTGCACTCAGCGCTCATTTCTGTGACGAGGATTTGCATCACGTCTTATTGCAGATATCTGCAAGATAAGAACTGGCAAAGCAGCAAATTGTGTTTTCATCCCTGGTTGGGCTGCTTTGCCATTACAAGGCTGTGCCAGAAGAACACTGTCTCTTGAACCTTCCCTTGGACAGTCTGCTCATACAGCTGCTAATTCATTTACCACAACCAGTTGGTCTCAGAAGAGCATACTGGTGTACATAAATAGGCTCCTGAAAATATTTAACAGGGAGGTTAGAAAATAGCTTTGTCATTCTACAGAGTGCAGCGATCACACCAATCCCATCCTCCTCTGAAGAAGTGCACTTTGCTCTTGACTGTTCAGAGCTTGATAACTGGCAAGCTGCAAAGTGAAGGTTGCTGAGCCTGATGTCAGAGAACGCAGAACGGTTGAGTAGCCCTAGACAAAATGGAGAACACGTCACTCAATTTATGATAAAGGGAAGATACGTTAGCACAGAAAGCTGCTTAGGTCACAGAGAAAGAGAGACACAGAGTAAGAAGTATACTGCAACATACTAGTAAGTTAATTTTTTAATATTACTGTATTAAAGTGCAACACATGCATGAGTCAACCTAGTAATATACCTTTTTTTAAAAAAAAAAGTATTCGCTGTAAAACCTGTTTTAGTAGTACTTACTACTTCTCTGACTTAAGAGTTGAAAAACATGCTGGTTTAACAATCTGAATCAGGTACAAAAATACTACTAGATTTGTGGGGACATGCTTCAGACCTTCAGTAATTAAAATACAGTAAGAGACATCCATTCCAAAATTATTCATCCATAACAACAGGAAAAGTGAACTGAAGCCTAATTATTTTTAAACATATAAAAAAAGATCAGATTTGCATTTTGTCATTAATAAGATAGTCACATACCATCGTTTCTGCTAGTGGAATAGCAGCAACTACAACTCTGTTATCTTGACGACTCTGGATTTCCTGAATACTACCTCTCCGCTGTGCAAGGTCAGAAAGTGCTGCGCTGAGGTGATCTTCACTCACTGTGATTTCTAGGTTCATCAGGGGCTCCAGTATTTGTATACCAGCTTTTTTCAAAGCCTAGATGGAAGGGAAGGAGAGTTACATTGATAACTTTTTTTTAAAATTGACATAATAAGTACTTCTATAACTCAAGCTCACTGCCTCTTAAATTCTCTACTTCCAAAAGCTGTAACAACCCCAGCGAGTGCATTACGCTGCCAGAGAAGAACAATCACCAGATACTGATACACATACATTTTCCCAGTAGTAATCATGCTACTGTGTTCTAGGGCAGCTTACAGTTTCCCTGTACCTTTTGCATGCAACGAGAGACACAGGCCGATATCATTGTGTGGGAGGTGTCAGGGTGCACCGTCAGTGATTGCACTGTCACATCTATATCCTGAACTGGGAACCCCAGCAAAGGTCCTAGGATAAACAAAAAAAGATGAAAAAAAGCACAGTTGATTTTTGGAAAATTAAGACAAATGCAAAAAAGTTTCACTGTTAATTTGGAGCTTCTCACTTCCCTCTTTCCCCTTTCCTTCCCCTTCCTCCCTCTCTAGGGGCCTGACTACTGGTCTTGTTCCTCATTTTGTGATGATGTCACTACACTAGCTTTGCCAAAAGAGACAAAGGAATGTAGACTCACACTTTCTTTACCAAAAGCACAGTTAATTCTCAGAACCGGGAGTTCCTGAGTGTGCTCATCCATACAACTGTCCCCCAAAATTAAGTTAGTTTTTAATACATTATAGTATCTAAAACTTGTCTATTAAAACAAGACCTCATTTGAGAAAGTAGTGAAACCTTTTGTTTAACCTGAAGCCAGCATATCGTCTGTATTTTCCTTGTAAACACAACGTGATCACAGCAAAGCCTGATACTAACCCACCACCAAAACTGCAGGGTTAACTCGATTCCATGAGGGATGAGCCTTGTCTTGTGTCCTAGGTAGGTTATGTCCCTCTACTAGACCAAAAAATGTATTAGACTGGATGGGAGGCCTGAACCACATCAGAGAAAAAACACAGCTTTTTGCCTACAGAGAACATGGCCAGATCTATCTATCTGTCTATCTATTTTTAAAGCACTTAATTACATGAATTTTTAGTCTGTAGACAGCAGAGTTGTGAAGTGTCTGAGGAGCGTGAAGAAAGCACACAGTCAAGACTCATTCAACAGCCAGAGATGAGATGCTTTCCAGCTCAACAAAGCAACACGGAAAAAACACCTCACACTGCTGCTTCTAGAGTAATTTTCATTTATCAATCCACTGCCTGTTAATTTTACCGTAAAGGAGAGTTCTTTGGCCACAAGTTATTAAATATTTCCTGTTTTTAATGAAACATAAAGGATGCTTTTAGTCCTTTAGAAAATGTATACTTTGCAATTAGGTAAGGCTTTTTATTTTATACTTTCATGGATTTAACATATTTGAAAATAATAATTAAAAGAACTCATCAGTAGCTCTAATAGAAGCGTGGTATGTACATGTGGGCCTCTGAAACCACTTCTGTCACATCACTGTGGTTTATGTGATGTCATCAAGTAAACGCCTTGTATCTCATACCAGATTAAAAAGCAAACCAAAAGAACCCCCAAGCTCGCTGTTGACTGAGGAGAAATCAGCCTTAAAACCAAAGGCATGCTGACTTCCGTTCTTGGCCTAGGGAAAGGATTGTTTGGTGATCTCTGTAGTTCAAGAAATTCCAGAGTTCTCCTTTACATTCAACGTTAATAGTACTACCTTTTAGTTTTCAAGCTACTGAGGAGTTTAAATTAACATTTAATAGTTTAAATGTATTAAATTGCTTCTTACAGAAACATTACACCAGTATAGCTGTCAGAGCACTTCCTTTACCTTGAATGCATGAATTTGTGATTCCATTTTCTATAGCTCCTTGGAGTTCTTTGGGTAGCATTTCAATGACACTCGCAGCATACTCGATGACAGGTTTTGTCGTTGCTCTCTCCCCTAACCTGGGCCTCACTTCTAACTCTGCAGTTACAAAATGTCGTTTATCTCCTACTGTTTTGTCCAATACATCTGCAGGCGACGGGGGTGGGGGGGAAAAAGGTGAAACAACCATTTACAACCAAATACATAAAATCCACGTCAAAGTCACTCATAAGATCATTTAAAGTAAATCAAGCTACAAAACCAGAAACAAGATGTTCCTTCCATTCACTCATTTTACCTGTAGCTTGGGCAGCATTTAAGATAGTTTCTCTATATGCTATTTGAAGAGGTCCCAAATAAGTCTCAATTCCATATTCACGTTTGATTCGGTCATGAATGATCTCTATGTGTAGTTCTCCCATGCCACAAAGAATAGTCTAGTAAGAAGAGGAAAAACATGCAAAACTCAGGCTTTAATACAAACTGTTTAAGCAAGGACTTGCATGCTTTTAACAGTCTTAGAAATATTTCAAATTCTAAGGAGCAGAGAAAGAAAACAGGACTGCTTTAGGTCATCTGACATAAACACCATATAAGTGAGAGGGTAATTACCACTGCTGTGACCACTATAAAAAAGGTCATCATTTGACTACTTTGTAAAGCACGAGTGCACAAGGCTCCATTTTAGTTTGATGCACAGAACTTTGCACATACATGATACGAACATTTAGGGAATCGTTTCTGTTCAAGAAAATCTCAGTATGCAAACGTACTAACTGGAGGGTGGTCTTGACAGTTCTAAAATAAAGCTTGGTTATAAGGTGAGCAATAGAAGATTGATCTTACCTGTCCTGTGTCAGGATCTAGCTTCACTTTTAAACTTGGATCTTCACGCTGAAGGCAGCTCAATGCATTATCTAAGTCTGTAAATACCAAACATTATATTATCTAAAGAGACTTCAGTGATTTGAGAATCACGATGAATGTCTAAACAGCAATTTCCCCGTAAGGTCAAATCTTATTCTCAGAAGGAATCCGAGAGAAGCATGGATTTTGGCAAACGAAGTCAACTCAAACTACAAGCAACTTGCAACTTCTGATTGTATCCAACAAATAAACTGCACGCTACAGAGTGCTTGAATTTATTAAAAGTGCTATTGTCAGAGTGATATTTCGTACTTGTATGAAGACAGAATGGAATCTGCAAGTGCTTCATCAAATCAGTAAAAAGTACTGCACCTTTTTTTACAGATAAGAAAAATTGTCAACTAACTCCTATGTGATTTGCCTAGATATTTCAAGATGAGTTCAACATGAAAAGGTTCAAATGCAATTTTTTTTTTTTATTCCCCATTATCTTATCTGCTGAGGAAACTACAGGAAAGCAGCTACAGAATGATAAACTCACAGCTGAGACTGCATTTATCTACC